AGCGGCCAGAGTCCCCCAACCGACAAAGGGGAAAACCTCCCGACGGCCTGGAACTCTGCCCGGGCATCGGAGAAGCGGCCAGAGTCCCCCAACCGACAAAGGGGAAAACCTCCCGGCGGCCTGGAACTCTGCCTGGGCACCCGAGGAGCGGCCAGAGTCACCCCGACCGACAAGGGGGAAAACCTCCCGGCGGCCGGGAACTCTGCCTGGGCATCCGAGGAGCGGCCAGAGTCCCCCAACCGACAAAGGGGAAAACCTCCCGACGGCCTGGAACTCTGCCTGGGCATCGGAGGAGCGGCCAGAGTCCCCAGCCGACAAGGGGGAAAACCTCCCGACGGCCTGGAACTCTGCCTGGGCATCCGAGGAGCGGCCAGATCCCCAACCCATTAAAGGGGAAAACCTCCTGACGGCTCCGCTGAACTCACCTGGGCATCCGAGGAGCGCCAGAGTCACCCTCACCGACGAGGGGGAAATCCACGCCGGCCTGAACTCTGCCTGGGCATCTGAGAACTGCCAGAGTCCCCCTCTGACCGACGCTCGAAATTTCGCCCTCGAAATCTCCCCAGGGTGCCCCCGGCTATTGTCGTGCACTTTCTGCACGCGCGCCGTTCAGGGGGACCTGCCCGGAAAAGCGTCCGACCTCGCGGAAGGGGTGCCTGGACGCTGAGGGGCAGATCCGACCTCATACGCGACGGGCCTGGAGCTCGCGGGACTTAGAAAATTTCCCTCGCTCGAGCGGCGCTTTACCTTCGCTGTCCACCAGGGGGCGCCACTAGGGGCAGGCACCCCTTCCCCTGCCCAGGGAAGTCCCAGGGCCGCGGGGAGGTCGAGGAGGACAGTCTCGGATGTCGGACAGGCGAGGGGGGAAACCTCCCGACGGCCTGGAACTCTGCCTGGGCATCCGAGGAGCGGCCAGAGTCCCCCGACCGACAAAGGGGAAAACCTCCCGACGGCCTGGAACTCTGCCTGGGCATCCGAGGAGCGGCCAGAGTCCCCCCGGCCGACAAGGGGGAAAACCTCCCGACGGCCTGGAACTCTGCCTGGGCATCTGAGGAGCGGCCAGAGTCCCCCAGCCGACAAGGGGGAAAACCTCCCGACGGCCTGGAACTCTGCCTGGGCATCCGAGGAGCGGCCAGAGTCACCCCGACCGACGAGGGGGAAATCCTCACGTCGGCCTGGAACTCTGCCTGGGCATAGGAGAACCGGCCAGAGTCCCCTGACCGACGCTCGAAATTTCCGCTCCTCGGAAATCTCCTCGAGGGTGCCCCCGGCTATTGTCGTGCACTTTCTGCACGCGCGCCGTTCAGGGGGACCTGCCCGGAAAAGCGTCCGACCTCGCGGAAGGGGTGCCTGGACGCGGAGGGGCAGATCCGACCTCATACGCGACGGGCCTGGAGCTCGCGGGACTTAGAAAATTTCCCTCGCTCGAGCGGCGCTCCACCTCGCTGTCCACCAGGGGTTACCAGGGGCAGTGCCTCCCCGCCCAGGGAGTCCCAGGGGCGCGGGGAGGTCGAGGGAGGACAGTCGCGATGTCGGACAGGCGGTGGGGGAAACCGCCCGTCGGGTCTGGAACTCTGCCTGGGCATCGGAGCGGCAGAGTCCCCCAGCCGACAGAGGGGGAGAACCTCCCGTCGGCCTGGAACTCTGCCTGGGCATCTGAGAACCGGCCAGAGTCCCCCAACCGACAGAGGGGGAGAACCTCCCGACGGCCTGGAACTCTGCCTGGGCATCTGAGAACCGGCCAGAGTCCCCAAACCGACAGAGGGGGGAATCCGCCCGTCGGTCTGGAACTCTGCCTGGGCATCGGAGGAGCGGCCAGAGTCCCCCAACCGACAGAGGGGGAGAACCTCCCGTCGGCCTGGAACTCTGCCTGGGCATCTGAGAACCGGCCAGAGTCCCCCAACCGACAGAGGGGGAGAACCTCCCGGCGGCCTGGAACTCTGCCTGGGCATCTGAGAACCGGCCAGAGTCCCCTGCCAGGGAGGGGGGAACTTGTAAGACGCCTGGCACCGTCTCCCCGAGGCGGGCGCCCGAGCCGACAGAGTTTGAGACCGCGTGAAACCGGAGCCCGCCGAAGGCTGTCCGACCCCTGCCGGGGGCGCGGGGTGCCCGGGGCGGGCCCCCTTCCCCTGCCCGTCCGGCCCCGGGAGGCTGGGAGCGAGCGGGGGCCCCTGGCGCCCTCTATCGTTTTCGGCCACCGGGGGGCGCCGCCGGGGGCGCGGGGTGCCCGGGGCGGGCTCCCTTCCCCTGCCCGTCCGGCCCGGGGAGGCTGGGAGCGAGCGGGGGCCCCTGGCGCCCTCTATCGTTTTCGGCCACCGGGGGGCGCCGCCGGGGGCGCGGGGTGCCCGGGGCGGGCTCCCTTCCCCTGCCCGTCCGGCCCCGGGAGGCTGGGAGCGAGCGGGGGCCCCTGGCGCCCTCCATCGTTTTCGGCCACCGGGGGGCGCCGCCGGGGGCGCGGGGTGCCCGGGGCGGGCCCCCTTCCCCTGCCCGTCCGGCCCCG